CAGTGGACCTCGTTGACTGGCTGATGTTTATGTGCTTCACTTAAATATAAGTTATTTCAAGAATTTCAGACAGGGAACCAGATATTGGCAAAAAATTACTGTCTCACAATTGCAGCCAGCACTGCATGATGCTTGGGCCGTGCTTCTCTTTGGTTATCTGATAGCCAATTAAATCCACAATGTTTTGATTTCAACGTTCTGAATAATCTAGCCTGTAATCCGAGAAGTGTCGTAGAGATGTTAGTTGCTTTGTGAGGGTCGTTTGTTTGAAACCAGCTTCAAACTTCTGGGTTGATAACCAAGTAGTAAACGCATTCAGTAGCCCTATCAAATCAGGGCACATATCCATTCTTGCCCTAAGGGATCTTAACCTCCCTAGGGTTAATTTTTGAAGGTTGTACATTAACTGAAAATGACGACTCTGATGATGGTCGGCTCTTCAACCTTGTAACGTGGACGAAGTAAATATGAGGCACGAAGAATGGATATCAGTCTTCATATCGCTCCATCACAAATTGGGGGTTCTTAAGGGATAACCTCTCGATTTTCTATCCATCTACCGTAAAGATGACTACGCAGGATGGACTAGCGTCACCTTCTGGATATTTACAGCTGATTAAATCACCTATGCCACCAGACATTCTGAGTGCTTCGAATCACTGAAGGCCGTCAGCATCTCTACTCGTCTACCGGCCGGGTTTAGAGCACACAAACCAGCCGAACAAAAATTGAACGGTAACGAACATGCCTAAAAACTACTTAGGTTGAAAAGAAACGCATGCATGTAGGCACCGAAAGTTGAATGGGACGGGCATCAGGTGTGGTTTACCAACACGCTTGTTCCTAACTCAGGAATTTCTTTTTCACTCACCTGAGTCAGTTTGAAGTGTCAAAGTGAGTACTTTTATTGGCATGGCTTAACCGACTAACCAGCAGCGACACTGAAACGTCAGGACTCTTGACTGATCAGTAGTTGCAAACCCTTCTCATCGCCTATTCAGGAGTAGGAGACAAAATACGACTACTGATCTTTGACTTTATCACTGGGCTGGTGCACCGCCAATCACTATTACTTACTTGGGTTATTTTTCTGAGGCCGGACAAAATCCACACCGTGGCTTTGGGAAAGGGGGACTAATCTTAAGCAGATCAATAAACAAGTTGTTCAAAGGTTCCACAAATGAAGGCGAAGGCCTCAGCCTTTAAAAGTTGACTCAAATAACGCCAGGCTTCAAAGTGGGCCATCGATCCAGCCCAGAGAACTACCGACTGGTGACTGTTTTGTCTGTGTTTTCGAGGGTGGCGGAATTATTTATTTGTGATATGTTCAGAGATCACCTGACATTGATTTGTTTCCTTACATTTGCGAAATACCGATCAAGTTGTTATTCGTCGTAGAATAAAATCGTTTGGAGGAACAAAGGAAGCCTGGGGGCGCTGGACAGCTAATAATTATGATAATAACGGAGAAAAGCTTTATTCTCACACTGGTAACTTAATATGAGAGAAGCCAGTTTACAGGCGTCATCAAATTGAAATATGTAGAAAAATCTACAAGATTTTACGGGGCCTGAATGGTACAGAGGGGAGGTCGTTTAACTCCATCAAAAACACCTGATCGCGGTTACGGGACAAAGAAAATGCCACTTTCAGTATATGTAGTGCTTCAAAGTGAAGACTATAAAAACTACCATTCCCATATAATGGATTTAACATAACAGACACCAGTTCACAAGCACCGTCAATCTGAAGATTTCGAAAGTTTACAGAATAGTATTTGGAATTATATAATTCACATAGCGAGTTATTGACATGCATAAACTTATTTAAACTTGTTGCAAGTCAGGAGACGGGCAGGATTTCTATCTGTCGTTAGGCAGATAGGTTCCACTACCAACGACAAAAGAGCGCAATGTTCAAAGTTTGCGTTATGACCAGACGACGCTGTTAGTCCATTTGCATAGTTTCTCATTCAGTAATGTAAACATCCATTCACTAAAAAGCTCTTCAGTTTTTAGTTTTGCTAACCACAAAGGGCCCATTTGTACGACATGAAGTATCAGTAAGTATCCTTAGTTATGCAACCAAGGTGAGTGTATAAATCCATGTATTTCCGGTTCACCATGTGGTCTAAAGGCAGTATACATTTATTCCACTGGGATTACTTCTAGTAGTAGATGGAAGTAGACGTTGAAACGGTTAATAGCCCAAATGTCAGCAGCTATGTATGGACTTCAAGCATCGTTCATATTAGCGTAAGCAGCGTCATTCGAGAAGTGTATTTGATGCATGGTAACTTTTACTTAAAAAGGTCACCTGATACAGGGTACTATAGAACATGTAGCGTGGAATTACTGCAGGTAGGTCATATACTGAGCTAATAACTATATTGGTCTCTCATTTGATCATTTGTTCAGGATATTTGTGCCGCTATGGCCTTTGGGAAACTTTAGGGGGTTCGTCGCAAGAAGAATCCTGACCAGCTGATGAGTTGATTGTGAAGATGTTCCGGAAACCGCGAAAGATTGGGAGCGGTCCAGTAATTCATGCAGTCAAACAGCGGGTATTATTTCCGCTTAATAGATATGTCCAGATTGAAATTCAACATTGAATGTCACCATCGGGCTGTTGCTGTAAAATAAAAAAGAGAGAAGAAGCACGAGCAAATGTGGGAAAGGGAGTTACCACGCAGACCGGCTTGGAAAAGAGAGAAGTTCTTATACTTTTAGACCGATCCGAACTTCATGCACATTTTCATATGTGTATGCGTGGTTAGCCACACAGTTTCTCAATTATAAGATCCTGAAAACTTTTCTGTTTCCTCCTAGTATGGGACTCCCCAGCAGTGAGCACCCACGGCCCTCACCGCCAGAGATCGAACCCGTGACCTCCAGGCTCCGTGACCATCATGTTGCCACTAAGCCACTGGGTCAGAACCCAGTGCTCCATATTTCCAACTTCCGCTAGCTCACAGTGTAGCGCAACCGCCACCCAGTGTCGTCAATGAACAACTGTCCTCACGACCATCGGGCTATGTCCCCCCGGTCACGACTTAGCATTGGAACTTCGGAATACCTCTCGAAGCTAGTCACCAATGAGCACCAGTTCGACTGAAGTTTGAGGAAATATTTCAAACACTGATCAAGAAATGGTTTCGCTTGAACTTCAAACGTGTATGCTGCTGCAGACAGGTGAACTGAGACTGCCAATGGCCCAAATGGAACCGGAATTATTTGCGCAGACTTTTCCTACAGGTTTAACCATGCCAATTGTAGCTGGCTTGTTGATGAGCTAAAGCTAACCGGCATCAGGAATAATTTATTATTATTATCATTGCTAACTGGGTGGTTGTTATCATGTTCACTTGGTTGTCTGTTCATAGTTCGAGTGAGGTGTAACGACCAGCTGTAGATAGGTTTCCATCTACCCCATAGGCGGATAGGTAGGTACGCATGCTGTTGCAGTAGGGGCGCGTAGAGAGGTGTGTTTAGTGGTAGATCCGAGAATCTTAAACGGAACAATGGAGGGGAAAAACGTGAGCCGACGACTCAGTAAGAGCGAAGGTTTTATATGTCTAGAGAGATAGGAAATACTAGTGGAGTTACTCAGGCTGCGAGAGATGCACACTTCATCCCAGCTCAGTACGAACGCCTTTTCAAAACATTTTCGTGCGGTTTGACCGCATATATTCACTCTACACTCCCACAACTGTGCACAGCCTCACCTAGACGATGGTCTTCTCATCCTCCCGCAGAAAGACAAAACAAGTCAAGAACGCACCAGTGGGAGGCTAACCATATCCACTTGACGACTTAGGCACAAAATTGAAGAGGACAGGCTGGTGTCCCCTGACCTAAGTTCCACGGGATCCATAAAATTAACTAAAGGCTCAATTATGGCCCCCAACATACTAGGAACTCTGTAAAGCGCTTGAAACCCATTTTATCTGCTTACCAGTTTCGACTTCTGGACTACCTCATCTCTATCCTGTCAAGCTCTACCGTTTGTTAGTTGGCTCTCCTTGTTAAATGCGGGTCCATCCTGTGTACTCACTGATTTCCGAATTCAAGCCTTTCCATTTCCTCGTCTTTTCGAGATTCCCGAGGTCACTACTAAACTCACACTCCTCTACGTGCCCCGTTGATTCAACGTATGTTCCCACGGGCCAGGCGGAAACCTGTCAGCAGCTGGCTTTTCCCTGCGGACATCCACTTCCCCCTTTCTTTAACCTTAGCTATTAAACCAGTTTTAGAGAGTGTACAGAAGTTAAGCTTTGGAGATGTCAAGTTAGACTTCGTGCGTAGCCCTTAGTCGCAAAGGTTTTAGGAATTCTTGGAGCGAACTTGACAGACGCAAAGACCAATCACTGATTATTCCGATTTGCTGTATACCCAGGAACGCGAGATCAAGAAAGAACACCATGGCATAGTCGGATGGAATAGCATATTTGCAAGGTCGTGCCAGGATACCGATGCTTTCCAACTAACTGGCCAGAGTTGATTACGAGCGGTGCAAAGTAACACGACAGGGTGCCAAATGGCGAGGATGCTTGACCGGGTGCCTTCAGCTTAGCAAGTCCAGTTAAACTATCAAGGTCAGCACCAATGTTGAATTTCGTCAAACACTAGACAATTGATTTTTGGGAAGTGTTTGACGCTACAAGTGTGTAATGCAACAGGTTCGCTAAATCTTGGAATGTTCTCCCTATAGAAGTGGTTCAGCCTACGTCTTCGAAAACTTTTAAGCGTCCACTTCACTGCAAATATGGTTCGAGTTTATTCACGACCTAATTACCCTTCTTATTCGTTTAGTTATTTGTAAACACCTTAATAACCAAACACGTGGTTCACTTCTTCTGGAAATAGGCGTTTGTTGTTGATGTTGCTGTTTTCCGCTACAAACATATAGAAAAATACCTTATCAAATGTCGTCAAATCTAAACATGTTGAACGGCAATTACCCTGCGAGTGGTTTTGTTTTAAATGGTCAACATAGATTAACTTACATTAGGTATTTTCGGTATTTTAACCCTCTTATTTGAACTTTGCGTAATATGGGAAAGGAAGATTTGAAGTCACCTTATGAGAAGGCCAATATAATTTCAAGATTATTTCACATTTGGTTGAGCCCTCTTTTTTCACAATCCACTGGGAACTCTTTGACCATAAATGATGTTTACAAGTGTCCTGAGAAAGAAAGAGCAGAATACAATACTGAAGAATTAGAAAGGTAAACAAAATCATTTTCAACCAGGATCTATCACTGATACAGGCAGTGGGAATCAGAAATCAGTAAAAGCAGTCCAAAACTTATTCTCTCCATCATCAAGTCATTTAAACTAGATATCTTTTCCTCTGGATTTTGTTTAGCTTTTGAAGTTAGCCTACTTATATAGTAATTTTATTGGTTTACAGGTATTCAGCAGCACTGTCAGACCAGTTATCCTTCAGCAGGTGCTTATGGGCTTTCAAAATCTTAAGGATCATCACTATCTAATCAAAGCTATTTTATTTAGCATTCTTTTCGTTTTAAATACCGTCTTGTCAGTAGTCGTGAGAGAAAAAGCTTTTTGGATTGCTTACAGAATGGGTGCACGTTTGCGAGTTGCAGTTTCTGGTCTAATATTCAAAAAGGTTTATTCTTTATGCCTAATTGATTTGTTAGATACTTCGGCTAAATCAGAAGTTGTTGGCGGGTTCGACAACCGGTCAGATCATCAATCTTTTATCAATCGATGCTCAGTGCTTTGATTTAGTAAGTTAATTTTTTCTTCACTATGTTGTTAGCGTTCCGTTCTCTCTCATTTTGGAGAGCTTTTATTATGGAGATCGGTATTCACGATACTGAAATTTGGTCTCCAAATGCAAACAATAAAGCAGGAAACTCTTAATTTACTGATGTTTTCAAGGTCATCAGTACTTATTAGTCACTAATAATCTGACGGAATTCCACATTGAGAGTAAATTTTCATACTTCTTACTTTGTGGTCAGCTGCCTTCTACCTTTTCAGTCTCTTTGATCTAGTTTTTCTAGATACCCTTAGTAATAGTAAAATGAATCTGTTGCTTCACCACTTTGACAGCTATGCGAAATGGCTTGCAAAGTTCACCAGTGGGCATTGACAGGAGTGACAGTAGTTGGTGAAAATGTACTAGTTAGCTTACATTTCATAGCAGGAGTATGACAAGATGAATTGCCCATGTTTGTCTCACTATAGACCTAGTCTTAGTATTTAGTATGTTCATTGGTTGGATATTCACTTGAACAAGATTGCAAAACAATAGATGGCATCTAGGGAATGACATCTGAAGTTTTGAGAACGCTTCAACTCAACTGCCATGCAAATCTGTCTTTAACCAAAAGCGTGATCATCAGGTTCTTCTCTTATGGCTTTATTCAGCTTTGTGTACGAATCGTAAGCATATTTTGCCGCCATTTGTTTGAATTTCATTCCTTACATTTATTTTTAGGTTTTGCGGCAACTAGATAGTGAGTTTAAGATTAAGTAGTCTACTTAGGGAAATCGATAAATGGTTTAGCTGATATTTGATTCCATTGGTTGTGGAAATATTTTGTAAACCGAAGTTGTGATATGCTTCGTTATTTATTTATTTTATGGTTTTGAACTTTACATGCTGTTTAACTATCATAAACTTCATGATGGCGCGACGAAATGGAGTTACCTTTTGTCAGTCATTTCAAGATATTTTGCCACCCCACTTTCAAGTGATATTTTCTGTGGACGATTCTCATAAGTCCCAAAACAAGCGTAGTATTTTTTTCCTAACAATCAGAATCTTGTCGTAATGTCGGCATAAACTTAACCGATATAGTTTATAATAGACTAAACTACATAGAAGATGAACACTGAACAGAGGCAAACGATGAAGAACGAATGTTTGAAAAATCATACCTAACCAGAGTGAAAAGCAACCAATATCATAGCAAATTTTAGTTTACTTTATTATGTGTTAGGACTAGATGCTTATTGAAGGCAGTCAGAGATACTAGTAATGTTTAGTCGCCAACGATTGGTTTTTTATTTGTTTCGAAATCAAATGCTCATATGCTTAGTGTTGTATGTTATGCCTGTTTATAAACTGAGTTTCATCTTATTCATGGTTTTGTAATATGTTTTGAGTAAAAGCTAGTAGATCTGTAGGTGACTAATTATTCTCGACCATTTTATTTTATACAATATTTTTCGCATACTGATCTTATGGTGACTCAAAGTTTGTTATTTCGAATCTTGTTCTACCTCCTGATGGAAGTCTATCGATCATTTTGCAATGTGGTCATCAAGCTAGGAGATTAACCACCAAAGTGCACTTTGACAGGTGATAGTTGATTGGAGGCAATTAACAGGAAGCCCTGCACCTAGGTTTCATGCTTATCAGCACTCTTCAGCTAGACATATCTGCAGCCTCAAGGGTAGTGATGTCCCCCTGAGATTTGAACTCGCATCACTGTGTTGCTGTCAGCGACATTACCATTCAGGTATTCGGACCACCTACCACGACTGACCTTCTGTAGGACTGGATTAGATCCACTGATTGGCCTTTGGAGAGCATCGGATTTCACGTTGTTTCTTTTAATCCTGAGTGCTGACCGAATTTTATCAATCATTTTACAATGTGGCCACCAAGTCTGTAGGTGGAGTACTTTGATGGGTACTAGTCGTTGCACTTTTCTTTCTTATCAATCCAGAAGTCCAAGATGTTTCATTTATAAGTAGTTCATGACGCAAGCTGACAGTATTAAGCAAGATGACCTCTATGTAGGGAATCAAGTGTAGTAACGCATAACTTTCAAGTTTTACCAAGCCTGCAGCATATTAGCTGTTTTGCTGAAGTTTTGTTTTTGTTACTTACAATACGTATATTGTTTACCGTGTTGTTGTTCTTATGGATTTCAAACTAGTTTTATTAATTGCCCTGTATCCTATAAATTGTGGATACTGTCTCTGATTAAATTAGTGTCTTTATATAGTAGTCGTTAACATGTAAATTTATAGAGTGATACCTAATGTTGGGAATTTTAGCAATGGCACTGACATCGTACAACCTTCTTCTTGGTCTTTACAGTACCACCCTTTCCTTTTTAAGACTGTGAAACACCTTAATTATCAAGACACTTTGGTTTTTATAGTTTTTTACGAATTAAATTTGGATTCTTATTATTGTTATTATTTGTCGCTTGGGTTCTTAGTGGGACACAGGGCTTTAGTAGCAAGTCTCCATTTCCCTCTGCTCTCTGCAATCTTTTGAACCTGGAGCCGCGACTGTCCAGAAGCTCTCATTTCCTCTTCACACGATCTTCTCCATGACAGAAGATCTACACACTGGTTTCAAGTTAATGAACGCCTGTCTTGCTTTTTCGATCCTAGCTGGCTTTGACATCCTCGTCTGTGCCTGTGCCGCCTGTAGTTGAAACGATGCTGCCTAGATAGGTGAAAGAGGCTACTTCCTTTAAGTTTCTCCCATTGATGGTGATTGGAGCTTGTCGTTGCTGTTGTTGTTGGTTGGGTATCATCATCACCTCTACCTTCTCTACTTTCACTCGAAGTTCCGTCTTCGCTGCCCTGCAATGCCTCTTCTGTCAACTTGTTAGTTTTCGCCTGTAGATCTTCGGGTTTGTGTGACATCAGACACAAGTCATCGTTGAAGAAATCCAAATCTAAGATCTTTTCCCCTGTCCAGCGTATCCCCCTCTTCTCGCTCCTCACTGTTTGTTGCATGATCCAGTCGACCACAATCAGGAATATCATGGGGGATAGTAGACAACCTTGTTTCACTCCTGTCTTCACTTCAAAAGCATCAATGACCTTCCCATTGTGAATTACTTGGCTGGCATGTGGCGTCTTCATATACCTGCTGAATGAGATTGATGAAGGATTGCGGTATTCAGTAGTATTGAAGCAGTTTCCGAATTACCTCTCGGTCGACGCTGTCAAAGACCTTTTCAAAGTCGATGAAGTTGAGGTAGAGTTGAATTCACTGCCACTGTATGATGTGTCCTATGATGATGCGTAGTGTAGCGTTGCAATTTGGTTCGCATATGATTTGTACTCCCTGAAGCCTGCCTGTTCCGGTCGAAGTTTTGAATCCAGTGCATCTTTTAGTCTCTTCAGGATCATGCAGCATAATATTTTGCTTCGGGTGGAGAGGGACAGGAGCATTATTCCTCGACAGTTCTTGCAAAGACTTAGGTCTCCCTTCTTCAGGAGTTTGATAAGGTAGCTTTTCTTCCAATCTGTAGGTACCTTTCCTTCCTTCCAGACCTTCTGCAATAGTGGTGTGAGCATGTCCGCTGTTGTCCATGCGTCTGTTCTCAGTGCTTCTGGTCCTGCTGCTTTCCCCCATTTCAGTAGCTTTATGGCGCTCAGGACTTGCTGGAGGATTTGTGATCACTTGTAGTTCTGTGGCTGCAGGTGGTATTTCTAGACGAAGTGCAGGTGGTGGTGGTCGATTCAAGAGCTTTTTGAAGTGGTCACGCCATAGTCTCCTTTGTTTCTCTTCTTTGGTAGTTAAACTTCCTTCATCATCTTTTATTGGTTTCATCTTTGTTGATCTCTTCCTAGACAGTAACCTGGTTATTTGATACAATGTCATCAGGTCTCTCCTACCAGCAGCCTGTTCTGCTTCACTTGCAAGTGTGTCGTGGAAGTGTCTTTTGTCTTTCCGTGCACTCTTCTTCACTTCTTTGTCTAGTGTTTTATACGTTGTACTGACTTCCTCTTCTCATTGTGCATCCTTACACTGGTTTATCTTCTGATTCACCATCCTCCTCTCCTCTATCAGCTTCCATGTGTCCATCGAGATCCATTCCTTATCTTCTTTGTTCTTCCTTCCTAATACGGTTGTGCAGGTTTCTTTCCACATCTCTTTCAAAGAGTTCCAGTGCTCATCCACACAGGTTTCTTCAGGGATGTTCCTCGATATCTCCCATTTTGTCTTGATGGCTGACGTGAAGATTTCCTTTGTGATTTCGTCCTTCAGTTTGTGTTGTGGGTGTTGGACTTGAACTGCTATCTATCGCCAACTTTTTTGAAGGTTTTCAACCTGATTTTGAACGTTCCTTGCACTAGACAATGAGTGGTCTGAACCTACATCTGCTCCTCTTCTTGACCTTGTGTTCAGTAGACTGCGTCTCCATTTTCTTGAGATTGAGATGAAGTCGATCTGGTTTTTAGTGTGTCCTGGTGTGTGGTGAGATCCATGTCGCTTTGTGGATATCCTTGTGCTTGAACACACTGCCTCCAATCACCAAATCGTTGGATGCACAGAATTCTGCAAACAGTTCTCCATTCTCGTTCATCACCTCAACGAGCACTTCTCGACCCATGGTTAGCTCTCTTCCTGTTTTGTCTGCTCCCAGTTTGGCATTCATGTCACTCATTAGAATTTTGATGTCACCAACTGAAGTCTTGTCCAATGCTGATTGCAGTTGTCTCTAGAATTCCTCCTCCTTCTCTACATCTGCATTATTTTTAGGTGCATAGCATAGCACTGTACGATTGTGACCTTCCTTCCTTCCTTTTGATTTGAATCCATCTTACTGCCATGATCCTGGAGGAGATTGATTCTCACTGCATGACAGCCTTTGATGCTCTCGGGGACATGATGGTAGCCACTCCATAACTCAGTGTGCTCGTGATTGTCGTCTAGGTAACAATATCGGAGTAGATTACTGACTCTTCAGTTGACAGCTTGGAGAGTCCACTCCCATTCCATCTGCTTTCGCAGATTCCCAGCCTAGCACCTCTGTGCTATACCTTCTTATCTCTTTTGCAATCTGTGGAAATTCGCTAGGTTCATACATGGTGTGGACATTCCATGTCTCCACGTTTACTTTTGCTTTCATCGAGGGAGAGAAGACACATCGGCTAATTGGCTTCCCGAAGGCTTTCACCAACCGGCGTCATTTCGTCTCTCCGATCCCAGAGAAGAATAATATTGTTTTTATTTTCTATATTTTGTTTGTGCTTTGAAGTTTCTTTAGCGGTTAGATTTGTTTTCCGGGGTACGTTTGCTAGCCGTATGCCCAACCTTCCCTCTTTATGGGGGCTTATGACCGGCTAGTCACTAGTGAACTAGTTAACCAGGCGAGGTTAAGAGTAAGATTGGAATGAAAGAAACCCAAGTATGACACTTCAAGAGAACGTCGCTAATCATCGGAGTGTCTAGGCTTCCCGGCTAAGGACCATCCGAAGAAGGAAGTAAATAAATAGGGAATATATAGTGTAGGTGAAAAATGAGAGCTGTAATGCAGATGGATCTATGACTTATCTTCATTCGAAACATAAAGTCACATATCTTTACTAGCTTTCTTTCGTTCTACCCCTCCCTTATAACCTTTTACCAATGATGATATTATCTTCATTTCGTTATCTTTCTTGTTTTTGTTATTAACGGTAGTAAAGTATACTTGAGGTTCTACATTGGAATAATTTATTACCTAGGCAGAATTTTGCTTAAATGATGGAATGCTGTGTATCTTGTTTTTCAAGTGAATCAGTGTCATTTTTACGAAACATTAACTCCGCTGAATTTGTATTATTTACTAGTAGGCCTATATGAGATGGTTGATAAAAACATGGAAAACTTACAAAACTTACTTGTTATTAAGTTCAACAAAACGCTGACTTTCATATAAAATATATTGTGTAAAATCAGTATGATTAGAAGTTTCTTTTTGATATCTTGACCACTGAAAATGAAATAATGAACAGCCTAATTTCTAACCATGAAATTGGTTTTTTGTAGTTCTCGTCAACTTTCATTGCATTTTAGAAACTGTGAATTTGCCTTTCAACCATATATATATATATATATATATATATATATATATATATATATATATATATATATATATATATATATATATATATAGTATATATAGTATATTTTCCCGCCAGAGAGATTCTATTTCAATCTGAAGGGGGGGGGGCAGGGTTTGTGGGAATTTATTGAATTCGAGCTGGTGTTCATCATGGACAAACGTCAGTTGGAGGAACATTGGAAACCTGGGAACACTGGACAGCTGTTTTATCCTAGTGGAGGACTTCCCATCAGTGCGCATTCATGACCTCGCCACGCCAAGGATCGAACCCAAGACCTTCAAGTTCCGTCACCAGCACGTTACCATTGAGTCGCTGGGTCGAAATCCAATGGCCCATATTTCCTACTTCTGTCAGTTCACGACATAGCGCGACCATCAAGCAATGTCATCGTTGAGTATTTATCCTTATCGATCACAACTTCTCATTGGGACTTCGAGAATCACTTCTTGAAGCTAGTCACCAATGAACAGTAGATTAATTCAATTTGGGGAGTTTATGGGGATTTATTGATTTCAAGTTGGTATTCATCATGAGGTGACATCATTTGGAGGAACGTTGGAAACCTGGGAGCAATGGACATGTGTTTCATCTTTGTATGGGACTCCTCATCATCGCCCACCCATAACCGCACCAAGGATCAAACCTAGGGCCTTGAGGTTCCGTGTCCAGCAAGTTACTATTGAACCACTGGGTCAGAATCCAATGGTCCATATTTCCAGCTTCGATTAGTTCACGACTCCATTTAACTATCATTTTTATAATTTTTTCGATGATGATGATGATGATAATTTCATTTTAAAAAAACTTGTCTAGCTGAAGTAATATTAACATTAAATATTTACCTGCCTTTCAACACACTTTTGTTATTTCAGACATTTTTATTTGTACATTATGTTTGGATGGGACCACTTCAAGCACTTGTAGTTTTTGGATTAATGGCACAGATCACTTTAATTCCAAGCTTACTTACAGTTGGAGTTATTTTTCTATTCATTCCTATTCAGTCAGCATTTAATCGAGAATATGCAAAAATGAGGTATAATAAATAATATTTTAAAACTATTTCAATAATTTTTAGAATTAAATTCTAATTGCTATAATCTCATCACTTATAATCTTGATAAAATATATTCTAAGTTGTTATTCATCGAAGACTGACATCAGTTGGAGGAACAAAGGAAACCTGGGAGCACTGGACAGCCGTTTCGTCCTAGTATGGGACTCCTCAGCAGTGCGCACCCACGACCCCACCAGCAGGGATCGAACCCGCGACCTTCAGGTTCCGCGACCAGCGCGTTACCATTGAGCCACTGGGCCAGAATCCAATGCTCCATATTTCCAACTTCTGTTAGCTCACGATATAGTGCAAACCGCCACCCAAAGTCATCGTTGAGTATTTGTCCTCACGGCCATCAGGCTTGACTCCACCGGTCACGACTTGTCATTGGAACTTCGGGAATACTTCTCGAAGCTAGTCACCAACGAGCACTAGTTCAATTAAATTTTGAGGGGGTTGTGGAGATTTGGAAATATTTCAAGTTGTTATTCATCGAAGACTGACATCAGTTGGAGGAACAAAGGAAACCTGGGAGCACTGGACAGCTGTTTCGTCACACTAGTATGGGACTCCTCAGCAGTGCGCACCCACGACCCCTCCAACTGATGTCAGTCTTCGATGAATAACAACTTGGAACATATTATTATCAGGTACATTGATGTTAAATGTCTTTAATACATATGAGCATACAACAAATTTCATCTAGATGATATTCAATGAGACTCTGTACTGATTGATATAATTTGAAAACATGTAATAGTATTCTAGTTCATCAGTGATCATAAGAATTTCTTTCGGTGCATTTTTCTGTAGTCGTTTTATTAAATGAATAGGATAAATACTATTTGTTTGTATGATCAGCAGGAACAACACTCTACACTGGGGTACAAGTATATTCAGCTTAGAAGTCCTAAATAAGACGAAACGTGTATCTTGGATTTCTCTTCTAGGTAAAACCAAGTAAATTAATAGGATAAATTGAATATTTCTCAGTAGTGATTTGGTTAAATGGTTCATTTTAACACTTCACAAGTTTCTAATATCATTTTGTATGACACAAACCGCTTGAATAAATTAATTTCTTTAAATTTTTTTTTAGATTTAAAGCTGCAAACGTAACTGATCAACGTATTCGGATTCTTTCAGATATTATAGCTGGTATACGTGTTATAAAAGTTAATTGTTGGGAAAATGCATTCATGAAATTAGTACATCTTTATAGAAGGTTTGTCTGTATTTATATCTTTACCTCAAATAAACTGTCTTATTCATATTGGAAATATATCCTGAGATCAGAACACTATTTAGCTCAAAATATTATCAGATAACGATTAAAGAGATATAACTGTCCTATATCGCTGTATGATCAGTGGTTATTATTCTATACACTGGATAGTCACAGACAATTTCTTTCTCGGGTTGCATCAAACCAGCATACTAAGAATATTACACATGTGATTAGCCAAGTATATTTAACCTACATATATCATTAGTAATACTATTATGTTTTATAATGATAGATAGTGGCTAGCAGTGGAATCTAGGAATCCAGGACGGTATGATATAAAAACAATTATATATACTTAAAACTATACCTGTCGCACAAGAAGTGACTATCGTCGCTTGGTGGTGTAGTGCATAACGCTCTGGCGTTTGAAGTGATCGCTCCTGAGTCCAAATCCTGGTAGGAACAACATCACTCACTAAGAGGTAGGTACATCCAGCTGACGAGTCCGAAATAGGGCGAAATGCGCATCCTGGGTTCCACTGTTGACTACTGCCTATCATTAGTAAACTTAAAAGTCTTTTTAAGATTTTCAGTTTGTGAAATTCCAAAGTAGTTTTATTTTTGAAAGCCATAAGGTAAAGACTCCAAACTGATCTATTGGACACCAGAATCCCCGTTAACAAATCGATTATTGTTTGATATCAAAAGCGAGAAACTATTTATCCGAATTAATGGTGATCATTAGACAAGTTGAAATTATTTCTATAACGGTATCCAATAAAATAGGCCTAGAAAATTAAATTGTTCAAACCATCTAAAAACAGTTTAAACTGTTATAATTTAGAATCATATCAGGCTTTTTGGCAAAGTTCTCAACTCATTGTGTAATCTTTGTTGATATCTGTAGAGTGTCTAGTTCTAGTTTCTCAGCTACGTTAGTAAAGTTTGTTAGAATGATAGATAACCTATTAAAATATGAACATACTGTTGCAATAAAGCTTACCTCCGTTATTTGTATCCTAAGCCATCTTTCTGTTCCCCTCCCTTGGATATCATTATTTGCAACATACACATTAGATAATCAGGCGCATTAGTTAGTTATTCCTTTTCACTAGTAGTTTTATCTTCACATATTGTTATCTTCATATTGTTTTCAAATTGGTATTCACCAGGGACTGGTATCAGCTGGAGGAATATTGGAAACCTTGGAGCAGTGGATGGCTGTTTCCTCCTAATTTGCGATTCCTACCTAAACAATGCACATCCGTGACCTCGCCAGGGATCGAACCCATGACCTTCAAATCAATTTTTCATTTGTTTTATTTTATAACTATTCTCTTGCATAGTTAATTGTTTTTATCCTGTTAAGAAGATTTTTTTATTATGACAAAATTTTAAAAATATTTTACACTATAATTGTGATAAATATTTAATTTAATCAAATTATTTATTTAATTTACATGGGATTCATTGAAATTGCCGGCCCCTCCCCCCGCCCCGCCCCGCCCCGCCCCATTTTCTAGTAAAGAAGCTAAACTTTTTATGCGTGGTCGAATTTTTCAATCATTCAGATATAGTCAATTAATATATCAAGTGAAGCTTACAGTATTGATTTTAATTATGGCAATTCTATTACTACATAATGGAGAAGATGATCCAGAAGCCTTAAAAAGTTATCAATTATTCACTTTAATTAATTTTATATCATCACTTTTTCTATCAATCACATTATTTATGCCAATGGGAATTGAACAAATTTATCTAGCAATAATAAGTTGCAAACGTATATCTGTAAGTTTTATCAAGGCTAAATAATTTACATTAAAACAATTATATAATGAATAAAATTTACTAAAAAGTTTTCATCAACATTAAATGTTGTTAAGAAGGAAATTTTGAACTATAGATATAGTAAATGTTTAATAAATTATTATTATTTTTTTCCCTTGGATTCCTATTGAAACATAGGGTTTCATTAGCAGCACGTCTCCATTCCACTCTCTTCTCTACAGTCTTTTGAACGTCACTCTATGACTGCCCACAAGCTTTCATTTCTTCCTCATATAATTTCCTCCATGTTACCCTTGACTTGGATGCCCAACTCATCGTTTCCCTTATGGATTCCACTCGAGTGCCTGGCCTGTCATGTGATGTCCCCGAATGGTCTTCTCAGTGTATATCCAATCCATCTTTACATTCTTCCTCTGCATATCTGTTGCATGATAGGCTGTTGATTGGTTCTTTCCGAGAGTTCCTTGTGTGCTTATTCTGTTTGATAAATATGAAGTGATAATTTTCAGTGATATTATAAGAAAGAAAAGGAGATTAAACTTGTTGATTATTCTTCTGTTTTTGAAGTAGAAAGTTATCCTTCTTTGATCATTTTTTAGTTTTTGTTATTTATGAAAAGTTTGAATGGAAATAAAAATTTAAAGCTTAAAATGTAATCACAATGTATTATATATACATATTTCTTTCTATACAGAGTTTCATTATAATTTATGCATTACTGTTTATAAATTTTAGAAGATATTAAAAATTGTTTTTATTTTTTCATCAGTGTGAAGTTTTCTAGTCTTCAAAATAGCTTATATACAAATTAATCTGTTTGTCAACTTAGTTAATAAAAATAAAGATCCGGTGCTCTACCAACTTAGCTATGAGATCCGACTGCTGATCAGAATTTTATTTCACTTCAATCACCAAGGGTTTCTGCCCGACTACCATGTGAACGGTTCGTGACGTATTACTACCGCTTGACCGTATTCACACCGGCTGCCTAGTCAAGACTTCTCATCCCAATCCAAATCTAACTGAATCAGAGAGGGGGGAGCATCATATTGATTATGATTTGACTGAGATAACCGTAGTTTGGCAGACTAGTATTTGTATTGGATGATGATGGGCCGGGGCCGGTTGAGCTCCACATTTTCGTCTCACCTTCAATCATCACCCAGTACAAATACTAGTCTGCCAAACTACGGCTATCTCAGATAGATCATAAATAATGAAGGTCTTAAATCGTTTGATAACAACAACAGCTAATCTTGATGTCCAGTTCAATTCGATCAGATAACATTTCTAATTTATACTGAAAAAATATGTTGTATGTTACAGAATGTAAAAAAAGTTTGCTTATCATCAATTTATATCCTTTTGTAGGAGGTTATCATTTTATAATTTCAACCAATGATTATGCAAAATGTACATCACACTGTCAAAATAAAACAACAACCTAGTAAAAACTTTTCATGATTCATTTAGTTTTCAAACAATCATGTACACGTGACACTAAGAGATACATGTAATACAAGTAAAGTGTTATTATGACCTACAATGAATTTAAAGCTAATGCTTTGAAGATGAGCAATTTTGAGCATATTTCGTATATGAAATTTAATATTTTCTCATTCTTAGCAATATTATTTTAGTCTGCGAAACGATTGCTTTTCTTATAACAGCTTAGTTACTAGTCGATCACAGCAAAACGCATTAAATAATGACTAGTACCATTCATACTTCTTAAAAATAGTTGGGTGGTTCCGGTATCACACTGGTCTAGTGGATAAGGCTTTGTCGTTTGAAGTGATGACTAATGAGTTCGGGTCCCGAGGGAAAAAAACACACACTGAAATGCAGGTGCATCCAGCCGATGAGTCCCAAACAGGACGAAACGCGCCTTCTTGATTCCAGCGAAATTCATCAAGCAGATATCACCATAATGAGTGGTCAGTCAGTATTGAAGCACACTCAAAGGAGCCTGTCCACCAACCGAGGTCGAGTAATTTGACCCAGTATACTAACAGCAAATTACAAGCATCAAACGACTTCATAAAATCTACTCGATAATGCAGTCGATTATCTGAGACATTATTAAGTATAAGTGTATGACACCGAAAACAAGGGAGGAATGCCAAAGACTCCCATAAAAACCAGTCATATCTTCTACTGAATAAGCCAGCAAAACACCGCATGAAGTGAAATAAACGAACTCTTGTACTGATTATATAATATCTTTCTTATTATTTGTCCGCGGAGTCCTAGTGGAACATAACACTTTAGTTGTACGTCTCCATTTCACCCTCTTCTCTCCAGTCTTTTTAACCTGGCTCCATGGCTGCCCACAAGCTTTCATTTCTTCCTCACACCACCTCCTCCATGTCACCCTCGGCTCGGATGCCCAACCCATCGTTTACCATTTAGGTTCCACTCGAAAGCGTGGCCTGTCACGTGATATCCCCGAATAGTCTTCTCAGTGTATCCCTGACCCATCTTCACTTCTCTTAGCATATTTATTGGGCGATGAGTTCTTGGTTGGTTCGTTGCAGCCAGGCGGCCAGAGTTCCTCGTTGCTTGTTCTTTCTGGCCATCTGATCTTCAACGTCAGTATCGAGTGAGCGTAGGCAGCAGCTGTTGATGATGTATGCCTGTGGTTTGTTGGAAATGCTTTTCGGAACGCGCCGTCCCTCAACCATCACATAGAAGCACTGACTTGCCTGAATTAGTGTTGAAAATCCGGATGTTGTTCACGCTTTATGTTGAGTGCGGTGTAGTGCAGTGCAGTGCAGTAAATCTCCACACTGATCTACACAGATTAATGAAGCTCTGTCTTGGGGTGTTTCCGATCGTGACTTTGACGTCCTCATCTGTGCGCGTTTAGTTGAGACGATGCTGCCTAGTTGGTAGGTGAAAGAGACTACTTGCTTTAGATTTCTCCCGTTGATGGTGGTTGGTGCTTGTTGTTGTTGGCTGGGCATCTTCATCACATTACGGTTTCAGTGCCACAAACCTTTATCAACCTCATTTAACAGCTGTATGCTATATGACGACGCCACATGACAAGTGATTCACAATGGAAAGCTCAGCTCAGTGATGCCTTTGAAGTGAAGAGAAGACAGAGGTGATGAAGACGCCCAGCCAACAACAACAAGCACCAACCACCATCAACGGGAGAAATCTAAAGCAAGTAGTCTCTTTCACCTACCAACTAGGCAGCATCGTCTCAACTACACGCGCACAGATGAGGACGTCAAAGTCACGATCGGAAACACCCCAAGACAGAGCTTCATTAATCTGTGTAGATCAGTGTGGAGATTTACTGCACTGCACTGCACTACACCGCACTCAACATAAAGCGTGAACAACATCCGGATTTTCAACACTAATTCAGGCAAGTCAGTGCTTCTATGTGATGGTTGAGGGACGGCGCGTTCCGAAAAGCATTTCCAACAAACCACAGGCATACATCATCAACAGCTGCTGCCTACGCTCACTCGATACTGACGTTGAAGATCAGATGGCCAGAAAGAACAAGCAACGAGGAACTCTGGCCGCCTGGCTGCAACGAACCAACCAAGAACTCATCGCCCAATAAATATGCTAAGAGAAGTGAAGATGGGTCAGGGATACACTGAGAAGACTATTCGGGGATATCACGTGACAGGCCACGCTTTCGAGTGGAACCTAAATGGTAAACGATGGGTTGGGCATCCGAGCCGAGGGTGACATGGAGGAGGTGGTGTGAGGAAGAAATGAAAGCTTGTGGGCAGCCATGGAGCCAGGTTAAAAAGACTGGAGAGAAGAGGGTGAAATGGAGACATACAACTAAAGTGTTATGTTGTACAAAGAATGCAAGGGGGCAAATATTTATAGTGTACACACTGTCTCCAATCAGTAAATCAATAAATACAGAGAAGTTTGCAAATAGTTCTCCATTCTCACTCATTCCACTAAGTGCCTCTCGACTCATGATAGATTTTCTATCCGTGCTGTCTATCATCCGTTTAAAATTCATGTCACCCTTGTTAATTTGGATGTCACCAACTAGAACCTTGTCGTGTACTGATTGCATGTGTCTGCAGAATTCCTTTTCTTGATCTGCATTAGTGTTGGATGCATACCAGAGCATTGTATTCTTGTGACTTTCCTTCCTTTCGAGTTGAATCTTGCTGTCATGATTCTGGAGGAGACTGGTTCCTCCTTTGCCTGAGGGCCTTCGATGTTCTTGGGGACATCATAATAGCCACTCCAAAACTCAGTGTGCCTGTCGTCGTCGTCGTCTGGGTGAGAATATGGGAGTAGATTATTGACTCTCCAGTTGACTGTTTGAAGAGTCGACTTCCATTCCATCTACAGATTCCCAGCCTAGCACTTCTATGCCATATCTTCTCATCTCTTGCAATCTGGGCAGCCTTGTCATTCAGCCATCTTCAAACATTGTTGGGACATTCCATGTCCCCATGTTTGCTTTCGCTCTCATCAAGAGAGAGCGAAGACACATCGGCTAATTGGCTTCCCGAAGGCTTTCACCAACTGGCGTCATTTCATGTCCCCGATTCCAGCGAGGAATAAGTTTGTGTTGATTTAAATTTTGTCAGTGCTTTGAAGTTTCTGTAGCGATTGGATTGGTTTTCCGGGTTAGGGTTGCTGGCCCTATGCCCAACCTTCCCTCTTTATCCGGGCTTAGGACCGGCCTTAATTAGGAATTAGTGATGTGTGTATTGCTCACATTTTTTGAAGTTGGAACGAAACACATTCCTTTATATCATTGTAGTTACTTCAAGTATTATCATTTTGACTATCTGAGATATCTGTAATTTGGTAGACTTAATGTGCGGCTAGGGTTCGACCAATTGAAATCACCAAGCCTGTATATTGTCTCAAACCTTTACAGGATGTGAACGGCAGTATCACCTTCCACTGCATCTACCAATTCACACGTACGTATGGTGACATATGCATAGAGAAAACTCATAGATCCTTGCAAGTAAGGGCCTCGAATCATATTCCAAAGTGGTATCAGAAGCAAATCACCTGAAGCTACAAGCGTCGTTATCAGATGTCCAAGTTCTTCGATCGTGAAACATATCGTTGAGACAGGTCACAGAATTAATGTGGCCACTTCTTTTAGACCTGTTTACAAAATCTGTTAAGGACGGATCCTTAAACCACCTTTGCGTGTAAGAAAATAATTTTTTACCACATTAAATCTTCCTTGATGAATTCAACTTTGAAAACCAATCTTGATGGACTATTATTTTCACTCTATTGATTTTCATCGTTATTCTGTTTTTCATTCAGCCTTTTTTATATTTTATTCATACCTTATCTTCTTGAATTTTCATATCAATAACTATGATAAGTACATGTGTGATCAAATTGTTCGAAATGTATTGCACAAATACATTACACGATTCAAATAATTTATGACCTTTTATTGTTTTAATGAAATTTTTTAATGGGAAATAATTGTTTTAAAAGACTTATTAATATTGATACTGAATAATTGATTGAAGGTGAAATGAAAATTTTCACTACAGTGAGGGTTGAACCAGCTGTCAAAATGTCTTGTAGTTCAGTTGGTAAAACACTGGACAGAAAATTCAATGTCTACTGGTTTGAATCTAACTAACTATGGCCCAAATTTTCATTTGATTATCACTCAGTATCACTTTAAATATTATTATTATTATTATTTTAACTATAATCTACTTTTAAATCATAAAATTTTAATTTTACACTCATTAATTAATTGAAGAAAATAAATAATTTTTATTTTCAAAAATTTTTTTGTTTATATGTAGAGATTTCTGTTATTACCGGAAAAAGAAGATGATCATTTCCCATTAGTGAATAAATCGTCTGAAGCTAATTTACAATTCATAGATGTCTGTTCCCAATGGTTAGGTGTAAGTGTATTAAATAATAAATTTACATAAATATTAATTAGAAAATTTTAATTTTTTTTAGCATAATTAAGTGTGTATACATAAATTTTATTTTTATGTAATTTTCTATAGTTAAATTTACATGCACAATAAGTAAACTAAATATGAGATAATTTTTTTTTGGATTCCAAGTTGAAAAATCCTACTCTTTCTCTTCATGAATAATCCTCATAGTGCCACTCTTTTTTTAAATATTTTTTTATCCATATCTACTTGATGTTTTCAAAACAAAAATAAAAATAGACAAGTTTTTAACTGAATAATAAGATTAGTTGTGTTTAAGAGTTTCGTATTATTGAATACTTGGAAAATCATATGAATTTATGCATATAGGTCAACTGCAGTTCAAATCATTCTATCTATCTTATTTGGAGTATTGTTGTTTCTGTTGGTTTATCTGTTTTCTGCAAATTGGTTGCTAAGGCAAAATTATTTAAAATAGCTGTGAAACACAGGTAGAAGACAGAAGGTTTCAGGTGTTTGACCGTCGCTGGCTGCGTAGCACGGACCGTATTTCACGGTGTCACCATATGAGTAACACAGAAGTCAGCTGTAGAGTTTTAGGCAGAAGAGGTAAGACAGTTAATGTTGTTGTGGACTTCCATCAACTGAGATAGATTGGATATGTGTTATTTATGCCTAACCACCGTCTGCGTCATAGCACAATGTTGGCTGAAGTAGGTTCAAGCTAGAAAAAGCCTTTGAGTGGCCAGACTAAAACGTCACATCAATGGATGAATTTGTTGACTGTTGGTTCGAGCTATGTAGGGCGATGCGGACTAGCCCGGTTGGGGTTCACGGGACAAAAGAAACCAGTGATTGGAGACTGCGAATGATATTGCTTAGAACCTATATCAGTGGTGTGGATGCATACACACATTATCCTCACACTAACCGCCATACTTAATCTCATTATCCTCTCATTCTTTCTTCTTCTGTTTCCTTTGATAGATTTTTCTTTCCTTCTTCATCTTCCATTTTACTGCCTTGTTACTTGATGTGATGATATGAGGTTTAGCAACTTGGACTGTTACTCAGTATTACCTGGTCCTATGATGATCTTGATGATGATGATTTGAAACAACTGAAAATTGCTGTATTGAGTTAGTCATTCAGTAAGATGACAATGACAATTGAAGCTAAAGAACAAATTGAGTACATCTATAAAAATTAGAACATCTCATTCACAATCAGGTCAAGAAAGTTATCTATCTTGACCGGTTTGAAACTTCAGGGAGTAATGCTATGTTTTTTGTGAACAATACCCTAACTGTATCTGTGCATTTACTGTTACAAGACTTTAAGCAATTGCTCATCAATCTAAACGGAAGGCTGAGCTATGATTAAGTTTATCTTTTATGACAATTTCGTTGAACTATTTTTTGTGGGACGGATGGTATTTGACATTCAACCATTCAAGAAGGATCGGTTAAAAAGAGATTAATTTGGAATCATTCACTGTCTTCGGTTAGTATCCTATCGCTGATTGGAGAAGAATATGACAAAACTTAAGTATTCCTCACTAGTTTGATATTTGTATTTCCCAATGCTCAAAGCTTTTTTAAACCGTCAAATCCTAACTTGGTTTGGTTTTATTTCTCTCTATCATAAACAGTCCTCGGGTTATGCGGCTTTTCCATCTTAGTGAGAAGACCATAGATGTTTTTTTTAATCAAAGGTTAACCATCATAAGCTTTGCGTATCTACCAGTGAAAATCTATAAGGAATGCACAAGACAGTATCACATCCATATTAGATTGTCTATGTGATATTTCTTACAGTGAAACAGTATTGTTTACAGGATGACATTTGGAACAGAATTTGTTGTTCATATTCAGATCAAAGGTGACATAAATATGAACAATAAATTCTGTTCAAATCGTCATACGTTAAATAACACTGTTCAGTGTGCATAATATCATATAAATAAACTAGTATGGAATTATACACTACTACAGTGTTCAAATTCTACTCTTACATTGATGCATTATGTACAGTATTTCTCAGAAAACTATGAGTAGTGTGCCTTATCAGCTGTTCCTTGAGTTCTGTAGCAACGTTTCCTTCATATGCTACATGAAAAGAATACCTTAGTCTATGCAGACAGACTGGAAATATTATGCATTATCAAACCTTCAACAACCTACAAATTCCATCATCATCATCATCACACTTTTTGAAGGTATTTTCCATATTTTTATGTCCTTTTCTCCCTTCTCTCCCTCTCCATGACCTATACTCGGCCCTCGTAATCTTCTTGATCTGTTTATCATTTCAAAACTCCAGCAGTCTTCAACTAAAGATTCGTTAATCCTATCTGTCTGTGAAACTTCAACTCAGTAACTCAGAAAGAGGTGACTCTGTTTGCAGTTGTGAGCGAAGGTAAATCCGATGCAAAATGAATTCGTAACGACTACGGCAGTCGTGGACTACAAGAATGAAAAACCAGGAAGAGACAACACGATTAAGAGACAGTCCACTTGTATTTCGACTCTATAAACAGACTGACTGTTGAAAAGTGAAAGTCAGTGGAATATCATCAATGAATAGGATTTCTTGATTGAGTCTAACCCCGTTCAGCACCATTTCAACTAGTCTGCAGTAGTACAAACCGAAAAATCGGTGTAGTTATTTCAAGGGTTGCCATATTCAGGTAACTTATTTTGAATCCTATTTCGTGAAACGTTTTCAGGAGACTAGAAGTTTAGCGACAAGAAATAACTGCTCAGATCAACTGGAGTACTTGCGGAGAATTTTTAAAGTGTTTTGTTTGTTAATCATTATGGTTTATACATGAAATGGTTTCATGATGAGGACTGGGTAGCCAGCTTGGCTTAAGTCGAATCTACTTTTTGGTCATTTAATGGCTGAATAAAGTTTTTTGACAGCTAAACATGGAAAACTAAGCATTTTAAAGGTCCATATAAAGGTGGTTAGACCTAATCTTCCCTTTTCTCTGGGTTTCAGGACACATGTGCAGTTACACATGCTCAGTAGCATTCATATTTTTTGGTCGAAAATTCTTGTTGTAATATGTGATTGCAAGGAGAGTACCAATTAATTAAGTTATAAAAACTCTTTAGCCTACCTAATATTACGGAGTATGATTACATAAATGTTTGTCACTTAAGATGATGATAACCATTGTTCCAACCTTACGATTTCTGCTGACTGAAGAGTTTTTGCTTCTCATAAATTGTCCTTCTTTCTAGAGCGTTTCATGTTAACCAAGTGAACTTAAACGACATAGCTCCACTAGAAGACGATAACAGAAAGCATGATGCTGTAAACCTTTTGCCCAAATGGTGCATCTATGTTAGGGAGAACTTCTGGAACATAAGATATTGTTTCGTAACTGGTCAGCACCGATATTTATCAGTTGTTAGCAAAGTTTCTGCATAAGTAAAAAAGAACCTTCTGTTTTTCATGACTGCAGCAAAACAGCATACTTCATAGCTGTGAGACACATTTATTGAAGGGGGATTATAACAGTGTTACAGGATTTCAGTTGTATGTATATTCATAGCAGTGCTCATTTGGTGCGTAACGACATAATGAGCGCCATTGATCTTGATGACAGCTGCGCAGAGAATATAAGTAATCCGGTGAGCTTTTATAAGCTGAAGTAGCTACACCATTGATTATGTATATCAAACAAACTGTCTACTACAGCTCACCATGTTAGCTCAGTTGCATTAGGCCAGGAAGAAAATGAATTTGGTCATGAGGCACCATTTCACAAAGTGTAGGTTTCATCGTTTTATGCTGGGGATGCTGAAAACTCAAAACCTACTACGATACTTCAGATACATTCAACCCTGATCATCGAAATCCCTAACACCATTGATTTTCATTTGTTTACTCTCTGTTGTCAAATTCTTCTTATTTACTTCATTGTATATCTACCCCTATTAGTCCTTTATTTGTGTGATATTGCAAAGTTAGCCAATTTGAAGTACTGTAACCTCGAATGAAGCTTCATATTGCTGAAGAATAAAAGTAGTTAGCGATCACTCAAAATGAACTGCGGACTCCGCTGGCCAAAACCGAGTGGTTTCTAATGGAAACCTAGTTGACACTTTGGTTGTAGGAACGCAATTTATAAATCTTTCGTAACTCGATCATTCAGTTTACGTCATACGGAACCATTCAAGATAGTATACTAAACTAAGTTGATAAGAATAATTTAGCCCTGCGAGCTGAATTTCTCGAGGCATATACTGAAGAAGGGAATCATTGGCTTAGAGTTATGACTTTCAACTAGTTAATCATGGGTTCGAGCACTGCCTCACCTGTTAGGTTTGGGCTGACAGGTAGTATCGCTGTCCCTCACACAACAAGTTTGAGTTACCTGAATTAGTGTTGAAAATCCGGATGTTGTTCACGCTTTATGTTGAGTGCGGTGTAGTGCAGTGCAGTGCAGTAAATCTCCACACTGATCTACACAGATTAATGAAGCTCTGTCTTGGGGTGTTTCCGATCGTGACTTTGACGTCCTCATCTGTGCGCGTGTAGTTGAGACGATGCTGCCTAGTTGGTAGGTGAAAGAGACTACTTGCTTTAGATTTCTCCCGTTGATGGTGGTTGGTGCTTGTTGTTGTTGGTTGGGCATCTTCATCACCTCTGTCTTCTCTTCACTTCAAAGTCATCACTGAGCTGAGCTTTCCACTGTGAATCACTTGTCATGTGGCGTCGTCATATAGCATACAGCTGTTTGAATGAGGTTGATAAAGGTTTATGGCACTGAAACCGTAGTGTTGAAGTGTCTGCCTGCCAAATGACTTCTCAGTCGATACTGTTGAAGACCTTTTGAAAATCTATGAAGTTGAGTTAGAGAGTTGACTGCCATTCTATGCTCCGTTCTATGATGATACGTAGCGTAGCATTGCAACTTGGTCCGCATATGATTAGTACTTCCTGTATCCAGCCTGTTCCGGTCAGGCACTGATGAGTTCGGTTCT